ACTACTTTACAAAAACAGATACTATATTAATTGAACTATTGTACAATTTGTTAATTAAAATAAATAATTATAATAAATCATACAATTTAAAATTTGATTTAGATATAGTAATTAGAGAAATTATTGTACATTCAATTCTTTATAAATCTTGTGTTAACTTGGAACTTCCATTTTGCTTAGTCTAATTATGAAGTCACACAGTCTCATTTGTACTTGAATTTCTATTGGATTATTTGTAACATAAAATCCAGGTACACCAGCCTTTTCTAAAATACCTTGCTGATCTGCTACTTTCTGATCCAATTGCAGAACTAACTTCATATCCAATTGTTTGAGCTCCTCTTTATGTTTCTTATATAATGCTGTTTTTATTGCTATTCTTTCTTCGTCTATTGATGTTGATGATAATGCTTCTTGCATTTCAATTTTTTGTTGGTTCAGTAATTGAAGACGTTGTTGAAAGAGATGTTTCTCTGTAACATGCTGAATTTCCATTAACCCCTTAACAATCTCAAATATTGTATCATTCAATAGAGAATTAGCTAGACCAGATAATAATTCATAAGGAAGACGCATTTGATATTTTGGAGGAAGTTCACTGGCCATGTGCTGGAGCTGTTCTACTAAAAAGTACAGCTTTCTTTGAAGATCTTGAGGAGTTGGAGCAGAAACGTCCATTGCTTCATCTGGAAACGCAAAACCTAAGTAACAAATAACGTACATATATATATATATATTTATTCGGATTACTATTTAATAATCCTATACCTTTGTAAAGAAAAAAGTAATTACATTTACATAAATTAGAAAATAATAATAAGGTTAGTTTCGGAACAATTATTATTTTATTGACAATATTCTACAGAATCTTTGAAATAATTTTAAAACAAAATAACATAAAGTTAAAATAGATGTTCGAGTAAGCAGTAAATTATTTACTTTTACAATATTACTTAAAACATTAAATTTTCATTGACGTCAACAAAGTTAAAGCGTTATTTACAATAAACAAGTGGTATATGTTAAATGCAATGCCAATGTACCTCATGCAATTAGTCTATTTTACAATACAATTATAAAATAAAACATTTTAAACATTTCAACAGTTTTAGAATTAATGAAATATTAAATTCTATATATTTTCACTTACCGAGATAAATATTTCAAATAACCCCTATAGTTCGAAACTGTTCCGTTTGGTAACACTGTTGCGTAGGTTTTCCAGATGATTTTCCTGCGACAGTCGTAACCAAACCATATGTACGTGCGCGTACGTGTAATTGTGGTAAGCTCCGCAGTTCGTGGGAGATTTTCAGAGTTAGGTAAGGGCGAATGTCGAATTTTCTTACTGTGGGACGGAGATGCGCGTGTCAGGAGACCGCGGGAAAATGAATAATGACGAAGCAGCCAGGAAGTGAAAAATGATCGAAGCAAAATGAGGAGGACATATAACACTGTAGCAGATGTCCGAACGACCGATTGCCTCGAACAAACAAGACGTTTGCACAAGTAATACTCAGCTACGATAACAGCAGAATTTCGATTTCTTTATGTTACTCGTTGGTCCTTGGATTTTGTAGAATCTTTCTAGCTTTACTGGATGTCTGAATTCACCTTGCGTTAACATAACCTATACTCGTATATCATGTTCTTTTATTGGCGCGCTTTTGTATATAGCTTACTTCTATTACCTAGAATATCTACTCTATGAAAAATTGCGCTATCAATTTATGTATTTCATGCAAATATTTGTACTATTTATTTGAACGTTTGAAGTGAATAGACTAGAAACATAGAACAAATTCATGTCAAAAATATAATTCTGTATCACAAGATTAATACGAGAATTATGTTATTATACTTTTGAGGATTCCTTTCAAAGCTTCTTTATAATGGTATCAACAGTAATAATTATTTGATTGGTACTAATAGTAAAAATAAATACAGAATTTAGGACATGTTTTAATAAATCTATACTATTTAGTCTATGTTACATAATAAAAGAATATAACATGAAATTTGTAATAAATTTATTGCAAAAGTATATATAATGAATAATCAGAAGTATATTTAATTAATAGGGGTATAACAGATATTGCCAAAAGATTGGATGAGCAAAAGAGCCATGCATTAACAGTAACAGACTTGTTTACTCCTTCAGGGGAAACCCTGCGGGTAAAGCTTAAAGATTATTGTGTAAGATTAATAACTAAAGATCCTGTTGGATATGCACGTAAAACAGACGAGTTGTTATGGAGGAAAGCATTTTATGACATTGTCTATGCTTCTAAAAAGTTACGAAAGGTATTCCTTATTACTTATTGTATATAACAGCAAGAAATTATAACTGTCTGTTTGTTAATATTTTCATGAGGGTTGTAATAACAAATTTCATTATAGGGTAATGTATGGACTGAAACAGAAAAAGCAATGTTGTCTGTCCATTTGGCAGTAGGGGTTGGATTTTACCATCACTTAATATTGAAGTTACAACTAGAATATGGTTTAAATCTAGTTGGTACTATTGATTTTGCATTTACACAAAATGTAACTGGGTTATCAAGTGTAAGTTTTCTTTAAATATTTGTATTATATTGATTACACTACATATATATGTGTGTAAAAAAGTGAACTATATTATTACATTGAATAAAACTAATTTAGTCCTTCATTTTTTTATACTTCATAAGGCAAAGAGTAAGACAAGTCAATCTAAACATCACACCGAAGAAGTGAAACTGTGTGTTATTCGTTTAATTCATAGAAGTTTGGTATGCCTTGGGGATTTAGCTAGATATAAATTAGAATTAGATCCATATTGGGATCCAATGATAGCAAAAAGGTATTATAAAATGGCTATTGCAATTGATCCAAACATTGGAATGCCACACAATCAATTGGGCACTGTAGCAGGCAATATAAATTATGGACTTGATGCAGTGTACCACTACATAAGATGGTTAGAATAACTTTCTATTTTATATTTTAGTAAACACAAGACAAAACCTTCATTAACTGTAACTTACAGGAGTTTATGAATTTATGTATTACAATTTTCTCAAAACATATGGTATAAAAATTATAAAACCTACAAAAAGTATTATTGTTCATCTCTAGGAATCTATTATGTTTTATATTGCATTACATAATAACAATTATTATTTTATAGCGTTTTATGTGCTGAACCATTCGAAGGAGCAGAAGGAAATTTAAGAAGAGCCATTGTTACACATTCTATTTGTGCAGATGAAAAGTGTCCTATACATATGTGTGTATCAAGGTTATTTTCTCTGCTACAATTATGGGATTTTGATGTTCCAAATTCTGATCGAATAAATCAAGAATGTCAGGTATACAAACTATTAGATATTAATAACTAAATTCTCAATGTTTTGTATTATACTCATACACATAAAAATTAATCTTTATTTTCATTACATTTGTAGGATCTTCTAACTAATATTGAAACTTGCTTGAGCATAGAGCAATCTGAGCCAAATAAGACAAATTACAATGAAAAGGAAAGCAATATCGAAGTGTATCTTCAAAACTGTAAAAATGAACGAACGAATTACTTGACAGACGACATGATATTCAAAATTGTGGCTATATGTCTAATGTCCATTTCAAGATTAAAAGGCAAAGAATCTAGCGAGGTGCAAGGTGTTGTTGCTATAACCTTGGCAATATTATCACAACTGATACAATTTACAATAAGTAGATTACAAGAATCTTTTATAGATTTACCACTACCAAACATAGAGAATGATTCTAATAACGAATCTGTGGATATTGGAGAAAAGGGTGTTGAAAAACAATCCAATTCAAATGAAAACAACCAATCCAAGATTCAAAATGACAACAAAATATCTTCTGAAAAGGAAAACGCGGAAAACAACGGAGATATTCAAAATGGTACAAAAAAAGTTCGCGACAAAACGAAAAGTTTGCTTACGAAGCTTCGACGACGCAAACGAAGAAATAGCAGTGATTCAGACGTGAGTGACATCGATCACACAACTATGGAATCTTCTAGTGACGAGATAAATTCCGATATTTCTGAAACAGAAGACGATATGTTGAGCGAAGAAAATGTTTTGTCGGAGGATGCATTGTCTGAAGATATTACAGACGATGAGGGTGCATCTGTCCAAATAAACCAAAATATAGGTGAGGATTCTGAACTGAAGAAAATAAACGGACACGTGGAGAAGGAAATAAAAAGTGAGGTACCCGAGACGATCAACAACCATGTTCAAAATGGCGACGATCAAGTAGATAAGAAGCTCACTGATAAGGACGCGATAACTAATTCTGGAAGTACGGTAACGACCAATTCCAATAGCACGTTTGATGAAAATAGCGTATCAGCGGATAGAGTGACGTACATTGCTCAATTAAAGAAACAAAATGTAAAGCCAGAGGACGTACTAAACATCATAATTGGAAAGGAAATACTTGCGTCAATTAAAATATGTTGCGACTGGTTGAAAAGTAAACCAGATATAATACGAATATGTGGAAAGAGTTCACGAATTTTATTGAAACGCGTTACCATTTTATTAAATTTGATCAATATAAATACGGAAATGTTGTTGCAAAATTGCAAGGATGACAGTATGATTTTATCGAGTGTAGATAAGTTGAAAGAATGCGTTAAAGTAGTTCCATTACCGGAAGATATTGACTTAAGAGGACTGAATCTTTTGGAAGATGCCCAAAAGTCTCTTAATTGGAAAATATTGCATAAGCATAAAATGAACAAGCGAGAAGAAACCCTGTTGAGGGTCTTAAAGTTGGTTGAGTTTGGCCATTTCCTCAGTTCCGTTGAGGATGCTGGAGTAAAGTATGACCAGGTGAAACAATTGTTTGTGACAATTGACCTGAATACTTCTAATGCAAAGGATAATGGTAAAGATTGGGAAACGGAACATTCGCGTGGAAAATTGATGAGACATATGGGAAAATTATGGTTGAAGGCAGAAGTATGCGCTCTGGAAACTCGTTTAAGATCCAGACTTATGTCTCCTTACTTGGTACCTGATCATGAGGCTTTATCTAAGCATACACCAGCTCTGAAACGTCTAGTGTACGCTAAAAAATTTATTGTTGTAATTCCTAGTGTTGGTAAGTACAATAAAAATTATGAATAATTAATTATATTTTGTTCTCTAGCTAAAAAAAGTAATATACTTTTCAGTTGTTTCCGCATTGGATGAAGTAAAACGTATTAGTGGTCGAGCACGAGAGGCGACACGTTGGTTAGAAACTCAGTTGAAACGTGGTTCGAGATTTTTAAGAGCTCAAAGACCTCATGAGCGTCTAACCCTACCGTTCATCAAAGGACCAAGACCAAAGGATAAAGAAGCATGGTTATTCTTCCAAATTATAGAGTGTTGTCACTATCTTACTCAACAGACGAAAGTTGGCATGACAAATGATACAGATGCACCAGTTGTAACGTTACTAACTGGTTGCAGTCCAGATGATAAGAGAGTCCTCACTTTTAGCCCTGAGGGATTAGCAAAGAGTGCAGGTATTTTTCAATTAATTCATTTTTCTTTAAATTTTTCTGAATCTGAAATTAACGAAGTAATTTATTGCTATATGTATAGATTTTTAAATACAGTATGTTTGACTGCAGGTGTCAATATGGAATACATTGAGTCATTTCACACAAAGTGGAAGGCATCGAGTAAAAGTCATGGTTGAACATATTGGGCTAATGGAGATGATCATCTGCTGCTTCCTCCTACTGAAGTGAAAGTAAAAAAAAGACTTGGCCCTTCTTGAGAGCTGCGAACATGGCGAGCTACGGCATCAGCTGAGTGGGCGAGTCAGAGAGGGCTGGAAACCCAGAAAGGAAAATCGACGGTTCTCCTGCAATAAAACCAGTGGATTAATATCTTCTTTTCGTGGATGAATTCTAAACAATAAAATGGTTTCCTTTTAATCACTCGTATTGTCTTTTATGTTAAAAAAGAAATTGTACCTTTAGGTGAATATTTTTCAATAAAAAATAAATGTCATAAATTTTTCAACATGGATGATGTCCATTTAAAAAAGCAAAGTTCGACCAAAAATTAAATGAATCAAAATATTATCTTTTCATTACAAATAATTTTATTCAAAAAATAATAAAATATGTTATCGTGCAATTTCAATGGATTTGTCGTTTCAAGTAAGCCGGTAGTAGTGTCCTTATCTAGAGAGTCGTATTCTAATGAATTATGACGTGTAATGTATTATATCATTATCAAAAGACACGTATGTACAGTACTGTTTAAGAATAATGTTCAAGAAAAGTGGTAAATATTTTATTTCGTGATTTATAAATTTTAACAATGGTAAAAGATTAAAGTATTCTTTATTGAATAGATATTTTATTAAATTGATGCAAAAATATAACGGCTCATTTTAGATTTCACAATTGCTTCGAAAAATACATCATTCCTTAATGATGCAGTATATATCTGGTACATACTTAACACATGACGTATGGACACACTTGTGTTAGTATTTTAAAGTTACGGTAGTGGCAACGCGACATAACCTCTGAACGTAACGATTCGTGGTTTTTCGTAAATAAGACGAAATATTTTTCAGTAAGACTGTTGTTTCATTATTTATATGCTTATTTAGTGATTAAATATCGAGGAAAAAGAATTATTCGCTTAAAATATATGCTACATATCGATACTTCGAGAAACTATACACGAATGCTTGACATGTCGTGTACTTTTCATCATTTTATGCATTATGGCTCAGTATAGAATAGTCGCTTAAGTTGACCCTTCTATGTGGTCTTTATAGTTCTTTGGAATAACTTGTTAACAAAATTCAGCGTAGTCTTTTCGGGAACAGGTTCGTTAACGAAAATTTCTGTGGTGTAAAAAGAGGTGAAATATTCGAGGAAAGTAGTGCGCAATTGGCCCTCGACGAGGGAGAATCGAAAGCGTCGAAAGTAACGAGTCATCTACCGATCCAAGATGGCAGAAGGCCAGGACACTCGAAAGAAAATTACTGTTAACGTCAAAACGCCAAAAGAAAAACAAAGCGTCGAAATTGAGGAAGATGCGAGCATTAAAGACGTAAGTTTTTCAATCATGTAACCGTAAATTTCACCCGAAATAAAATTTATAAATTAAATAATGTACTTGTCATTGTTGGGTTAACTCTAATAATTGTTTCCTTTTAAATTTACAGTTCAAAGAGATAATTTCTAAGAAGTTCAATGCTCAAACGGAGCAATTATGTTTAATCTTTGCTGGAAAAATCATGAAAGATCATGAAACACTGCGTACACATAATGTCAAAGATGGCTTAACGGTGCATCTGGTTATTAAGGCACCACGCACTCCTACTAATCAAAGCCAAGACTCTACATCATCTCAGAGATCACAAGGTACAAAAATATTAATCAAATACTCTTAAATATTTAATTTGAATTTTATTTTAAAAATATTGTAATATATGTAACTTTATTGCATATTATTTTATGTAGCTGACATAAGTGCGAGTCCTTTTGGATTAGGAAGTTTAGGAGGACTTGTAGGCCTAGCATCTCTTGGTTTAGGATCCACCAACTTCATAGATTTGCAACAGCATATGCAGCGTGAATTGTTATCAAATCCAGAAGCACTGCGTCAAGTACTTAATCATCCACTGGTGCAAAGCCTGATGAATGATCCTGAAAGTATGCGTAGTTTGGTTGCAGCTAACCCTCAAATGCGAGACTTAATGCAAAGCAATCCAGAAATTAATCATATGTTGAATAATCCTGAACTGTTGAGGTGAAAATGAAATTCTTGAAAGTATTAGATAAATACATAAAATTTGCATTATTGTACACTCTTACATATATTGGATAATACAATTTATGTTATGATTATATTTTTTCAGACAAACGCTAGAGTTGGCACGCAATCCATCAATGCTTCAAGAATTAATGCGTTCCCATGACAGAGCTTTATCTAATCTAGAAAGCATTCCTGGTGGCTATAGTGCACTTCGGCGCATGTATCGTGACATTCAAGAACCTATGTTCGCAGCAACGGTTAACGAATACAATCCTTTCGCGGCTTTAGTGCAAAATAATGCTAGCGACGATAGTCAGAATAATCCACAACAGGGTCAAGAGAACAGAGATCCGTTGCCAAATCCTTGGTCTCAGAATCAGAGTGACTCTCCAAACCAGCCACAGCCGCAGCAGCAGCCGCAGCAGCAACAGCAACAACAACAGCCGCAACAACAACAACAACAACAGCAACAAGGAAGAGGTTTATTGAATTCACCAGCGATGCAAAGTCTCGTGACTCAAATGATGGAAAATCCACAACTGCTAAGAAATATGTTAAATGCTCCGTACACGAGGTCTGTGTTAGAGGCTTTTGCAGCAGATCCCGCTATGACCAATAGAGTGATTTCCGCTAATCCTTTCTTTCGAGCAAATCCGCAAATGCAAGATCGAATGAGAACCATGATGCCTGCGATTATCCAGCAAATGCAAAATCCCCAACTTCAAAATGTCTTAACCAACCCCGACGTTTTAGCCGCTCTCGTGCAAATCCAACAGGGTATGGAACAGTTACGCACTGTTGCCCCAGACTTTGCTGAAAAGTAAGTTGTCACAAACATATATATGTTTATTAACAATGTCTTTATGGTATTATTTTTTAATATAGAACATTGAAAAGTTATTCAATGTAAAATTTTTAGCATGGGATTGTCTGTACCACCTGTACCACCAACAACAACACCACCAAATGTAGGTACGACGAATTCAACGCCATCGACGACGCAGCCATCGGATACTAATCAGCAAGACGCATTTTCCCAATTTATGGCACGCATGGTAAAAAATTTCGCGTAATTATGGACGATATATAATAGAACTGGTTATTAATTTTGCTTTCGTCAGGTATCGGCAATGGCATTAAACCAAGGTGTAGAAGTGGATGGTCAACCTGCTCCCCCACCGGAAGAACGTTACAGAGCACAATTGGAACAGCTTACAGCCATGGGTTTTGTTAATAGAGACGCCAATTTACAAGGTAATAACATTGGCATTCGAATATTAAAAATTAATACACAATTTTAGCAACTTCAACATATATTTATGCATATTTTTTTATTTCATAAATTTAATTTTAATATTTTCAGCATTAATTGCCACATTTGGAGATATAAACGCAGCTGTTGAACGGCTACTGTCTAACGGACAAGTGTCTATGAGCTAACCACCAATTTGCAATGCTGTTATTCCATTACTATTTCTAATTTTTTCCTTATTTACCTCTTACAACAGACGTAGTGAGAGATATTTAAGGTAACTGACTGTCAGAACAAAAGAAAAAAAAAAGCGAAAAATTATAAACTTCTACCCCAACTCTTGACAGAATACACGCTACTGACTCGTTCAATATGCATTTTTATTTTGGAATTGGTACTTTATTGTACTCGATGATGATACAAAAAGTACTGGTATCTCTAAATGTTTAACTTGTTCACGATATATTTCACTGAATGAAATTTCCTAGTTTAATTCTGTATTCTGTAATTTTTCCTCGATGTGCTCTAAGTACTAGATAGCTCTGTTAATGTATTTCGTCGGTGTAAATTTGTTTAACGCATATTCCAGAAAGCGAGAGAGAGAAAGATCGAGCGAAAGGGGGAGAGAAAGAGAGAGAGAAAGAGAGAGAGAGAGAGTTACATTAGATTGTAATATCGAAGGACATAAAACCTTCTTCTTTGTTATATTGTACATTTATGGTGTTTCTTAGAAAGAGTGGAACCTGCATGGAAAAAATAGATTGCCGTTAAAAAATAAATATTGCTTCTGGCTTAATCAGTCGTTTGTAAATTTTTATGGAAGACATCGTTTCTTTTGTTTTTTATCTTTTCGGCTTGAATGTACGTAATAATCATACTAGTAAATGTATTGCATGAAACGTTCATATGTTTGCGACAGAAAAATGGGTACGGGGTAATTATCAATTGCTAAGTAACGTTTGGTGTATACAAATAAATTGTCGAGACGCCAAAAGAAAAATTGAAGACTTCGAACTAACGAATTAAATCATAACCGAATTCGTTCTTTCTACTTAAAGGAGAAAGTGTTTCGCTCGGTGATCAGTTAGTGTTTTCCATGTAAGTTTTGTATGTACGGCGATAAGAAGCGTAACATCCTTTCTTTTATTTCCTTCTTTATGCCGACGCATTGTTTTTGTTTTTTTTATTTTCCCCTTTTGTTTTTCATTTTTTTCTTAGTTTTTATAGTATTAAAAAAGAAACGGAAACGAAGTATAAAAAAACTACTATGCACTATATATCTTTAAGATACAAATTTTAGAGATTTGTAGCGTGATGATCGAGAATTTTATGGTGTAGGTTGTTTATAGAGAGAGAACGCGCGAGAAAGATCGATTATAGCAAGACTATTACATGTAAATGTGTTAAATTGAAAAATGTAATCGTCGGTTAGGTTTAAGGATACACGGGAGCATGAAGGAAAACAAAAAAAAATGATATGGTAAATGTTGTATAAATTATCTTTATTGAAAGAAAAAGGAAAACAATGAAACGCAGTTATAATTTTAATATTTTTGATTGATGTACGATTACATAAATACCCATGCGCATTATATTAAACTTTTATGTGTATTCAGCATATCTTCATTACACAAAGGTATTCTGTACAAGCGATTATATCACAAAATAAAATCATGTTTGATTCATATCAACGGAATTTTTAAGTATGAAGGTATATCTACGGTAATACACATGAGTGAACGATTATACGAAGTATAAAGCATATGTTTAGGAGTAACATAGACTGGAAACCTATGTAAAATATACATTTTAAAGCTAGTCAATGTGTTCATTGGTGTCTTTCCAGTATTACAATGTTCTCACGTTACAAGAAAACAAATCACAATGGCTCCCATTCATAAAACATGGCTTTCCAAATACATATTTAAACACATTCATTATTCACCATAACCTAACTCGTGTTAATCTTCTCTTTGATTCAAATGTGTATTACAAACTAATCTCTTCTCATTACACTTCCAAATGTAAGGTTACCTCTTCTTTATGTCCTCGTGTTTTTGTAGTTTCCTTTTCTTGTATTCTTTCTCTCCAAAACATTTCCTTTTTCAAATTTACCGCCAAATCTGTTACCTTCAGAATTATACATAATTTCTTTCACTTGCTTTTCTTATCTCCTGTTCCTTTCATCTTTAGTATTATTTTATATTATTTTTATATTTTTTACGACTATTTTATTCTTTTGTAATTTACACAGCATGAAATAATTATTATTGTTCAATTTTTTTGTTCATTTCATTTTGGACTTTTAAATACAACTTCTTACTGATATTTCTATATACTGTTTTGTGGTTGCGTAATAAAATCGTATTATTATTATAGTTTTCAATTTACATTTTAATTTTATGCATATATTATGTATACAATTAATTTAAATTTTCTTCTACAGTTTATTCGTATAAAGCTTGAATTAAGAAATTCAAAGAAAATAATTAAAGAATCGAGTATCGATGATTAGTTACTTTTCGATAATGAATTCAAATTTTCGTAGGGAGGGGGACTGTAAACCAGTTCTATCCAACTTTGCCTCCAAAAGTGCTTCCCCCACTCCACCTTCGTTACCATGCTACAGAGATGCGAGCTGATGACATGCAGCCAATCCAATCACTTCCCGCGAGAATTAAAGTATCGTTTTTTATTTCAAAAGTGTGATACTTAGAAGATATATGATATAGAAGTATATATAATATAAAAAAATTGGGAAATGATGTTTTGACATTCTATATTTTTACTGAATTCAAATTAATTCAATCTATTCACCAACATTTTTTAAAAGACATTTTTTATGGAATGTAGTGCAGAATTGTTATGCACTCTAAATTAATTATTATTGAATTTCTCTAAATATATTTAACAAAGTTTAAGATCAATTGAAATAGATTGAAGAAATTATTATTATAAAGTTCTAATCTATTCAGGTTCAACCTTGTCATTAATATTTGGAACTATTTCACACCGCGGACTCGTGTGTGGCGTTCAATGGTTAGGAACTACTTCTATAGGGCACCGCGCGCGACAATTGAACGTGCGCGACGTGTTAACAAAAATTAGTCACCCCCCACTTTTACTTTACCTTATTTCATTGTATTGTGCAAAACACATACACTTTTTATATTTTTTACTAGGCTTAGGTTTATCTCCACAATTACTAATTGTTTCCAAGGTATCAAAGATTTATGGTGATTGATTTACTTATTCAGGGAATATACATTTTGAAAATCAAAAATTGAATCAGAAATGAAAACATGATTAAGTAGCAAAAATGTTAATGAAATAATAGAGTTCTAAGTATATCGATATCTCTTTTCGTTTGTAAAAATATTTTAAAACGATAGTCTACACTACAACCACCCGTTAGAGGATAAATAAATTACCTAATAGATGAAACACAGTTATGAAAGATTAAATGATAAAACTATTATTTAAAAAAATAATTTTCTCCGAAATGAAACGACGAAACGCTCTCAAATAGCCTAATAATTACTTGAACGCTACGAACGCGAAATCCCCCTCTCATAGCCAGCACTGTTGTAAACGGACGATCTGCGCATCCCCTCTCTTGGCTCGTCCACGAACTGCACTGTACTACGGATCAGTCGGTTGGCCGTGCCGGTGGTTCAGTCTGTGTTGATCTCTCATACGGTTCACGTAGAGTATTTTGTGGCGTGTGGAGAGTGCGCGTTACGCCGACTACTCCTTGGCAATTGGTTATCTCCGTGAAAACGCGACGGCCGCGCATCGGATTGACGTTTCTCGCGTGTGAGAGAAGCTCTGGAGTCTGCGCGGGCGGCGCGGACGAATCGCGTGCGCGAGCATGCCAGCCCGCTGAGAAGAGGCCTCACGTGTGCATTTGAATTTTCGAAAAGAGCCGGGTGTGCAGGTGTGTTGTTTCGGTGCAAAAGGTGGCGCGACCCGGTGCATTCTCCCTCGTCTTCGAAAACGTTGGCAGAGCCAGCGGAATGTGGCATGAGGTGAGTTAGCAGCCCGCCCGGTTTCGTCGAGGCCAGGGACGGATCTCCATGGGCCCTTTTCCTTTTCTTTCGTGGTTTCTTATGAATTTGCCTATCCGTTAACCCCCTGATTTATGATTTTTAATTGGCTATCTACTTTAACGCTAATACCATGTCAGATGAGAAAGAATTTACACTTGTTTATTGTCAGTCTTTCGAATTAAAATTGTTGAAGTTGTTAGAGTACATTTTATTATAAATGCAACCTGCTTTCACGGTATCTCGATCGTAATCTGCACCACGCGTGCGAGTCGATGTTGGAAACTACCAAGGGGTTAAGGCGGTTAACTGTTTGCGTCGATTATTGTGAACGAAGCGGTTTGAAAGCATATACTATCGTTAGGGAAAATTTGGCGGTTCTGGTATGGCTGACGCGGTGCACGTTTAGGTAGCAAATGTACTGATGTAATTTGTTGTTGCTCGGGGGTCACTAATTGTGTGTGACTTGACAACGTATTAAAATCCATGAATCGTTCTTAAGTGGATCTTTTTAAAGTAGATTTCGATCTTGAAAATGAGATTACTGAGACTTTTTAAAAGTTTAACCGTTACAAAGATCACATGACATAAATGTTTTTTTTTTTAATGTACATGATTTTGGATAGGAAAACTAGGCAATTTTTGTAAATTATTCATTTTTATCTGCAACTGAGATGTATAAATAGTAACTGCAAACGAATTTTGTTCCAAACGTGCCGTTAGTATGTATAATACGTAGAAGAGCAACGTTTTATTCGTAGAGATACGATCGATAAATACGTTACGCGCCAACTGCTGCACGAAAAAACTTAAAAGATATAGTGCGTTTTAAAGGTACGCACTTGTTTTTGCAAAACAATGTGGCTGTTAAAATGTTATAATTAATAGAATTAAATGTTAAAATATTAATAAAATTAATATAATTGT